AAATGGGACATGTACTACTAATTTATTTCAACAACTTACTAAACACTGAATGTAGTCCTGTGATATTTTGTTCTTCCCACAAGTGGAACAGATAATATTATTCTGGGTTTTTTCCTCCTGTTTTGTACTTTTTTCCTCTTCCTTTACCTAGTGACTTACAGAATCCCTAAACAATTATCCAAACTTCAACATTGTAAAGATAAGGTATTATTGTTCTCTTTTCTCCAGTGAAAGTGGAGAAAATTAGCAGTTAGCAGTTAATAGCAGTTTCTTTCATTAGGCATTACATTTTAAGTATATGATTAAAGCCACAATTTCAGCTGAACTTTTGAACTTTGTTCAAAATAAAGGCTTAAGTTCAGGAAAACACACACATTGTGCCAAACTCATATTCAGTTTGTAGACCTCTTAATCTTACTGATTTCACGCTACTGCCATGTTTCCACCATCAGCATATGTGTGCCTCATTAATTTCACAGATACATGTTATTTTACCCAGAAAATGGAATAAAGTTACTGTGAACTGAATCTTGCAAGATGTTATGGGTATTCTCAAGATAAATTTAAATAAAAACCTGCCACAGAGAAAGCAATGGGCAAGAGTGACAAATATTGAGTTCGGAGGATAAATCCCCAAAGACTCTATTAAGCTATATCCTAGAAGATGCTAACTGCAATGTATTTTTTTTATTATTCTTTTGTTACGAAGACCTAAAGCTTCTGTCTTTTTTTAATTTTTTTATTTTTTTTTTATTTTGGCAGCACTTGAATAGAATATTTTGACACAATTAATTTTCAATTGAGTCAAGTTTGAAAAAGATCTTGGGTAAAATCTCATCCCTGCTAAAGCTGTTAAAAATTTTGCCTTTGTGTCCCTTGTAAATTGCACCATAGAATAATTGAATAGTTTGGGTTGGGAGGAACCTCTAAAGGTCATCTAGTCCAACCCCCCTGCCGTGGGCAGGGACATCTTCAACTAGATCAGGTTGCTCAGAGCCCCGTCCAGCCTGACCTGGAATGTTTCCAGGGATGGGGCATCCACCACCTCTCTGGGCAACCTGTTCCAGTGTTTCACCACCCTTAGCGTAAAAAATTTCTTAAACCTTATTAGGTTTAAGAAATTAGGTTTTCTTCTTAAACCAATTAGGCATGTATTGGCAACAGGCGGATCCTTATAGACCACACAATTTTGGAGTATTTTCTTAGACTCTTCCAGAGCGCATGGATACTGTCATCATAAAATCCTTTAACAAAATAGAAGGCAAAGAATAGAAATCAGTATTAATTACCACACAAATTAATACAGTTTAAAAGTTCATGGAAAGGCAAATAGTTCACAGCTGAATTGGAACAGCAGAACTGAAAATTCCAACTTGGAGCATGAGTAAGAAAAGGTAGAAGAAGCAGCTTGTTCCTCTTCTAATCATCTTTGGCCTGCCATCCAAACTGGCAACAAAAAGAGGTAAAACCCTTTTCTACCTCATTAATTCATAGAGGAATTAGAGTTCCCAAGTCTAGGTTCAATTTAACGTATTCAGGTTTCAGCACATGAACTTCAGTTTCAGGATTGCTTAGACTGAACTTTGGGTTTAATATAACCCCTCTGTTTTTTGAGGCTATTGCTAAAACTGATGAATTTTTAACACAGATGCAGCTCAAGTTGGAGAGGAACCTATCTGCAGAAATGAATCATCTTTATGGATTCATCACATCTCAATTATAGTGTGATATTAAGTCACTTTCAACAATGCATTTCTATAGTATGCATTTTGGTTGCATACCAATATACAAGTCAATTCATGTTTTGTAATTTAAAAGTGATATATTTCATCTCATATGTAATCTTTCCATGATTTCTGGGGAGCTAAAGAAATGAAAATTAGTGGTATCGCTCTCAGTATTCTACAAACACTGGAGGACACTAGTTCTAATTTACTGAATACAAAGAAAAAGAGTGCATACCTGGTTTGTCTTTTGATGAAAATTTGAAACGAAGTCAACTAGATCAGTCAGCATACTGATATTTTTTAATCTCTTCTATAATAGTCAGAATATAATTTTCTATTTCTCTGCATTAAATCTGTAACTATCTTACTGCATAATAAGACAAGTTTTATCTCACACTGTACAATGATTGATAGTCTAACTACTTCAGGCAAAATGCGTTTGCCTGCAGACACCATCTTCCAGCCTCCATTACGTATATTCAGTCAGCAACACTGCCTTTCAAAGATGATGATGTCAAGATATTTTGGTTTTGTTTCTACTCCTGCCTTTTTGTTATCTTCTTGTTCTTTGGTAGGTACTGGCTACAAAGATGATTCTGCAATTAAGTCACACCACCTTTGTGTCAGATGTGGACATGTTAGATCATGACAGAAGAGATTTTGAGATTATCCTTATAAAAATTTAATCGAACTATAGACTCAAACATGAGATTTTGGAGCCAGGGACTCACATTTCACAACTGTAAGATACATATGGGAACATAGGGAGAGAAAGCCATGTTCTTCCCACACACATCTGTGGGGTTTGAACCATCAGATGATTTTCTTCAGCCAGCGTTGTGTGTGAAAAAGTAAAATAATTCAAATTTTCTAGTTGAGACTAGTATGCTTTTTCTCAAAATATCCAGGCATTTCTTTGGCAGATTTATTCAGAAAAACCCTCTCTGGCCCCTCAAAGACACCAGTGACAGGATATTCATATCTCCTTAGGTATCAAAGTCTGAACTCACCACCCTAGGGTCCCTTACCAGTCAAAGGAAAGAAAGACACATCCTGAGGGAATTAATCTCATCATAAAATAGATATTGAAAGTAAATCATAAGGATCACTCTTCAGATATTCTGCTTTAAGTCATCTAAAGTTAGGCAAGATAAATCCCACCCAATTCTACAGAGTCCAAACTTGACACACTGGTAAAGGAAATGCTTTCAGAAACAATTTAGTTTTTATAGTCTTTCTTGTCTTCATTCGTTTCCTTCTTTTTCAAAAGGTAGATGTGAGAAAGAGCATGTAAGTTAACAATTCTATGAGCTACACGGTATTTAAATGAAACAAATTATTTTCCATAACCCCTAGATAGAAATAACAAGTTAATTGAAACTAAAAATCAATTTGTCCAAAAGTTCAAATAAAGTCCTATACTCTCTTTGTTTCTTTGGTATTGGATGCCACAGTAAGGGACAATGACTGTGAGTAAATGCCTCTCTCAGAGGAAAAATGCTAACATCAACAGTATGTATATGTCAATAACCATCTTGTAAAGAAAGAAAATATAGGGACCTCTAATCACATCTAATCATTGTTCCAAGCAACAGTTTGGGTTTTTTCCCCTCTGTGTTTCTAATGTTTCTTATATTCACTTATCACATATGCTGTCAAATAATTAATTCTTTCTGGCAACTGACAATTTAAAAGAAAAGTATATTACAGAAAAGAGCATCTCATTGGTTTCCATAACTTTGTATGGGCTATGAATAATTAGGGCAGTTCTAAAAATAGATTCATGGATAATTGCCTAAGCCCCAACTCTCACAGTTACTTTACAGGATGTCTTTGGGATAAAGTAAATACAAAGTTTGGCATAATAGTTGTGTAATTTACTATTTCCATCTCATAAAACATCAGATACATTGTTTCTGTATTTCATGGAAACTAGTGTAGAATTATAAACTGTACTCATTTTTAAAACACTGAAATTATATCATATAACAACAGTGCATTACCAACAGTTAAGTTACACTAAGCAACCATAATTATAGTCTCGTCAGAGCTACATAAAGCATTATCAGATAAAATTTAGGTGCATCTATCTATTGTTATAAGTAGATAAATACACTACTTTAGGTAGCAAGAATCATTAATAGTCTGAACTAAAGATGGCAAGAGAAAAAATCAGCACCCTTATTTGTCCGGATGCCTAGTGAGACAAGGAAGGTTCTATACAGCATTATAAGGATGAATAAATAGCCATAAAGTTGGCTTGTACTGCATGGAAGCTTGCAGATGGTGGATGAATTCATGTCTGTCACGTTTTTATAATACAACAACTTTTACATATTGCTGCCAGATGGAACATAGTTTTGCATCTTGAATATAAATCTCCAAGAAATACAACTTCCTTCAATGTGTTTCCTGTATTTGAAACAAAAGGAAATTCAGAGGCAGGTTTGGGATGCTAAAGCAGGTTTAAGGAAATCTGAGAGAATATAAATTAAATCCTTAAGGGCTTCCTTGTTATAACTCAATTCAAAATAATGGAGTTACCCATGTGTTTTGTATTTTTTGAGGAAAAACAGGAAAGGCATCATACAGACTTCTACAGGAAGAACTACATGTCATCTATCAAATGCCAAATACATCCTAGGCAGGTCCAGAAGACCTTTCAATCAAACTTACTAGTAGTTTGGCAAAACTTTTGTATAACATTTATTCTTGCTTCAATAAAAAGAGGTATCTATCCCACAAGATCAGATCATAAAAGTACAGTGCATGAAGCATAAATGCATTTAATCTTTGCTGATAATAAACATTATATCTATATCACAGAAGAACCTTGCCATTCTCCTTGTGTTAAATGATACCTAAACAGACCTAATATCTAATTCAGATCTGATTATACCAGTCTTTATACAGATGTGCTTTCTCAAACTATCAAGAAAATACAGAATTTTTTGCTTTTATATGTGCTTACCCATCACACCTGGCTTTCTCCTGTGTGTCTGGTCTTTGTTTCTAATGCTAGCTGGTATTGCTAAGAAGTGAATAACTCTGATAGCAATGAAGTGAACTATATGACTGTAGGGGAGAATATTTTCCCATTCAATGATTTCTCACAAAGTCTGATCTGATGACAAACTTAAGTTGACTTCTCTCAGACAGCCTCAAGCATTGTTTATATGCAGATAATTCTGTGTGTGAACCCATTAGGCTTTTATGACAGTTATAATCAAATATGATTGGGAAACCTTCTGGCTTACTTGGATCCATACTTACATTGTGCTTTGTGAGGTTGGAAATATTACTTGCTATTGCTTGTAGCCAGTCAATACAGTCTTCAGCAGAGAGACACTGAATTATTCCACTGCAAACCCCATCCACAGCAATTACTTGGAACGCATTTTGCCTATAGACATGTCATAACAGATCAGGTCAGAAGAAAATTTCATCTGTTCTAGCATATCATCTTAACGATACTTGTAGAAATGCTTTTCTTTCAACTACAATGAAGGTCAGCCACTGAACACTGATAAATTGCTGGTTTTCCTATTTTATAAATACCTGACATATTAAAAAGATCACGCTAAAAGGTCAACTCAGACTATATTAAATTTCCATAAAGCTATAAAAAAATTCCATTGACTAGCTCCACGGAACCTTGACCAACACTGTGTGACTTCAGAAGCTAAACATGTGAAATAGCTGATGCATACCAAATACTTTAATACTGCAGATCACAGAGAGGGAAAGTGTTCACTGGACACTGTAGGCAATCATTTAAGAAATGCAGTGGAATACAGTACCTTTTTCTCAATAGCTTTTCTTTTATTTTTCTAACACATTGTTTAAATACACTAAGATTCCTGTCTGGATACCCCTTGTTGGCTGCTCTTAGTTATAGAATTTTGATCCTCTTCTAAACTACTGATAGAAAAGCTGGAGAATTCAAAATTGATCAGGTAGCATTAATGATTTTTCCAATTCTATTTCTGAATATAGGATCATTAGCAAAATACACTGGAATGCCAAGAGACATCCAATGACAAAAGCAGTGGCCACCTGGGTGCCTCTATCCCAGCACCAATCTGGACACCTACACAATAATCTGGCATGCATTATAGACTGACTTTCCACAGCTGAGTACTGAGCAATTATAGAACAAGAGAAAACTTTCAGATGCTAAAGCAGTAGCAAGCCTAATGTCTTCAGTAATAGCCTTCTTGGCTAACAGCCTTTGGAAGGCTCACAGGTCTCTGGCTTCAGAACCAAAAAACCTCAATATTAATCCATATCCCAGAGTAAGAGATTACTAAACATACAGAATACCAAGTGCCACTGCCGGCGTTCTGCTACAAACCCATCGGTTAATGTTCAATTCATGGTTTAAAAATAAGTACATCATTCAGATTCTTTGAGAATGGCTCAGGCAAAGTGAGTGTTATCTTCAGTGTAAAACTGAGTGTCACTGATGACAGTTTCTGACATCTCAAGACAGATAACCATTCTGCAAATTTGTTTTTTTTTTTTACCTCTTGAAATTATATTCCAGTTGTGCAGAATGTAGAGCTAATATCTATCTCTACCATAAAGGTCTTTGCTGCATCTGTGTCAAGTACAGGCTTTTCCTTCAGTCAGGAGAAGCATTAAAAATGAATTAGAGCCATGCCTTTGCTTTGAGAGTCCCGTCATGAGAATTAGCTCTTACAGGAGGATAAGGCTTATATATACTAACATGATCATGCAGAGACCAGTGGTTTATCTAAATCCATCCGCTAACTTAGCAGTTTAGTTGCCTTTTCAGATGGGTAGTGATTTTTCCTTAAAATCCAAAGGTACAAACTGAGAGGTACTTCTTTCAATGACTCATTTTCACAATAATTCAGGTAAAGTTTTTGAGGAAGATTTATTTAAAGCATCTTCAGGTAATGTAGCTAGCATTTGTTTACTATATCCTTTATTTTAAATGGCTATAAACGTAAATAGTAAATTCTTCCAGAATAAAATTCTAAATAAGTCCTTACATAAAGAGCATAGGCATGATGCTCAGGCAAATTTGTTGATTATCTCTTTCAGGAAAAATAGCATTATTTTCAGGACTCCCCTTCTTTATACTCAGCCTATCGTAAAGCAAAGTAGGAATCCAAGGAATCTATTAATGTGTGACACTAACCTGCAGAAACAAAGAAAACCCAGTATGTTCCAGATTCAATCCTGATGCACAAACTTCCCTTACACTACAACCACAGTGAATCTGATGCATTCGAGGCATCAGACTCTTCCTACTGGTCCTAGGTATTTGATCTGTGCACATACAAACCCATTCATCCAGAATGTTCTTGCCCAAGTATCAATAAGCACAGACTGTAAGATGCATGGCTACCTAATAAATTACTTCTGAATGTGGTCTAGGCAGTAGATATCCTTAGCTTTAGATTATTGTAATAGTATTTGCTTGAATTAGCCTACCAACCAAAGTCCATACTACCACACAAACCTGAAAAAATAAGGTATTAAATAAGTGTTTTGTATTAAGTAGAACAAACAGTAGATTAATCACTTTTTTAATACAGCAAAAAAGTTAAGATCAGATGAATTGTTATTCAACTACACATATCAGGTTCTGTGCCTTTTGGAACTCAAGAGTTATATTTGAAATTAATAAGCTTTCCAAAATTAACCTGAATGCCCTCTGGAATTTTACATGAATACACTCTGGAATTCATCTGTCTCAAGCATCCCACTAGAAAAGCTAGAATACGATTATGAGGCGTAATGGTGTATGCGACAATATGATGTATTTCTGTGCCAGTCTTTTCAAACTTGGAAACATAAAAAGTTATTAGGCTTTATATAGTGAAAACAGCCTTGTAAATATTAGCTACAAAAAGTGTAATTAATTCAATTCCATTTCATGTTGCTTTCTTATATTATTTTCAATATCCTTTCCTTAATGTTACTCTTTATAGCAGTTTTTAAAAAAAAAACTCTTTTAAAAATTATCTACCTTTCTCTCATAACAAATTTTGAGAGGGAGTCACATTTTAAAATGTTTACATTAATTTAAAAGACTCTTATAAACTGTCTTGCTGGCAACATAAAATGTTGCTTCTATGCTTTTTTGAAGAAAACCCCACTTCCTCTCGCATATTTATACTGCATTTTTTTTTCCTTTAAGTACTCTTACTTCCTCATGTTAGACAGCATAGAAGGACACAAGGAGAAAATTAACAGTATAGTTATTCAAGGTTTGAGTATGAATTCAGATATTTTGTTTTGTATGAATATACTTTTAAATTTATTTTCTGAAAATTCAAATCTCAGGAATATCATTGCTACCTAAAAATCTTTCTCTGTAATGTACAAGTTCTATAATGTGCTCTTTAAGGTTGTGTTTTATTGATGCAGAAGACTGAATTTTAAAACCCTAGATCTATGAATAGTTGAATATGTCCTATTTTTCCATGTGAGTAGTTCTATTCAATTCAATGTTATCCGAAGCATACAGCAGAACAGATCTCAGATTTGACTGTTATGATTTTGGGCCCTTTATTCTTCATGCTTTTAATTATTTCTATTTTAACCATTGTTAAACATTGAGCTGAAGGTTTTCACAGAATTTAATAAAAAAACCTCCTGCCTCTGTGGTGACTATATCCTGTTCCCTTTCAGTTCAGCTAATAAGCCATTGTAGCCTTTGGTTTACACCTTGACTCGCTGGGCCAGCCATTGTTCCTCAATAAAACAAGGATCATGCAGCCAAGTAAATATGATTTTGCTATTACCAGTCAAAAGCGGCAGGCTGTTTTTAGCTTCACAATTATCTTGTGGTGAAACAACTATTGCCTAACCCGCTTTATTTTCAGCTCTGTGAATAGGAAAATGGCTGGCAGACCTAGGTAATGTACTTCTAAGAAACAACAGCCCTCAGAATTAATTGAGGCCATGGGAGGCTTTTGTGCAACTTTCAGATGTTTGCTGAGAACCAATGAGAAGGAAGCAGGCTGTGATAAGATACAATAAAATTCACCCCCCGCAAACCCCAAACTGAGATCGAAGAACACTCCTCTTCCCCTAGTTTCTGGGGGAGATCATAAAACCACCCCTGGGGGCAGATGGTATCAGTTGACTGTAGGACCCGTAGAAACACTGGAAGGGTGAGCATAACAACAGAGAAAAGACACTGGGGTGGTTCTTTCACAAAACAGTCTTTCCAGAAATATTAATGAAGCTTTTCTGTATTAATTAGGTAATTTTACATGTGCATGAGTGGAGGAACGGGAAATTTTAAACCACTAATGCCTGATGAGCCGTCTGGGTATAGCATAATGCACTATTCTTCCCAGACTCACACATCTAAGCTGGCAGACATGAAGGCTACGTGGGAAAGCCATAGTTTATTTCAATTAGTAAGGCCTCACAGCCTCACAAATGATAAGTCCTCTGTGCTTATTTCAAGAGTTAATGTTTCTGATGGGTTAGAAGGAGAAATAATGGAGAAACATGCTCTATAACTGTAGACAGCTGTCCTCCAGTTAATGACTTACATTCTGGAACTCACAAATTTTTCCTATTAGAACTTCATTCGTATATATACAGATGATAAATTAGATAATACCTAGGTATTTAAAACTTTAACAAGTATGATCTTATTTATATACTATGCCTTGCTGATTTTGTAGCTACTTTCTTTTCTATTTAAATGCATAACACTTGAAAAACAGTAATCATTCCAGAATATTGTCTTCCTTTCTCATTTCTTCTGACTTACTAGGATAATATTAATTTAAACAATGACAAGTTGTAGGTCTATATGATACATTAAATTTAAACCTGACTATGAGCTTTGGACAGCTTCCCCAGTGATTGGGAGACAAAATGTCAATGAAATTCAATATTAATAAATGCAAAGTAAGACATACAGGAAAAAAAAACCTTAGCTACATGTAAGCAGCAAAGAACATTTCTGTAGCTATAAACATTGAGGAAAGAAATGCAAAGGTTACTACAAACAATTCTCTGAAAACCATCACCTTAGTGCTCTGTGACAGTCAAAAGGTAATAGGTTATTACGAAGTATTAGATAAGAGCAGAGGAAAAAATGGAAAACATCATTATGTCTTAATATGTCAAGAAGGATCCTCCTCGCAGTCCTGATCACCTTGTCTCATAGAAGATATATTAGAATTACAAAAAAACAGAGAATAACAAGGATAATCAGAGCTATGGAAGGATTCCCTAACAGGAGATAACAATAGGCATCCTTCAAACTGGAAAACAGAAGACAGTCATCCGAAGTTATAAAAACGTAAATCAAGAATGCTTATTTAGCGTTTCCCTTGATACAAGGGTCAGGGCCCAGAGTCCACCCTCTTCCCCCTCCTGGGTGCCCGGCTGCCTGTGCGTGATGCCAGCTCTGCCATGGCGTGGCTGTGGGATGTGGGATCAGGCTGCTGTGAAAGAGCTTGAATGGGGTGTCTGTCCCTCCTTTCACTTGGGACCTGCATATCAGCTCAGGCCCTCACCCTTGGTCCTCGCCTGAGTTTAGCTGCAGCTATGCCTGTGCCTGGACATGTATCCCACTGATCCAGACCCGACCTGTGGGCTTACTTCCCAGACTGACCTGAGCCCCACCTCACCATGACGGACTCATCTGAAGACCATTCCTAGGCCTGCTCTGCTCCTCCACCGGGAGCAGTTGGACGGGACCTTTGTCTGTGTGGACACTGCCTCATCCAGCCCCGCTGCCACCCTCCGCTCTTGGCTCACCTTCCCCACGGGACAGCCAGCCCTTGCTGCTCCCGAACAACAAGATTATTTCACCCAATGAAGTTATCAGGTGAGAGATTTAACACCAACAAAAGGAAGTACATTTAAAAAACATAATTACATTGCAAGGCTCAATGCCACAGTGCATTGCAAAAAACAAAGTTATAAAAAAAAGCAGCTTAGAAAGAAGCTTTTGAGGACAGGAGCATTAACAGTTATTAAATATGATGACCTACGTGCAATCTCAGACTGAGAAACGTGCTGACCGCTAGGTGCAAGTGGGAAGATCACACGTCTTCCCCACATACCTGGTCCCGGCTGACGTCAGAGCAGAGTATGGGCTGAGGTGGACCTAGACAGACCTTTATGAAAGCTCCTATGTTTCATGTCTCTGACAGCTGCGGTGCAACTAATAATGCCATTCCTCTAATAAGGTAACTCCCTAAGGCTTGTATCTGTCAACCAAGAAGTCAAGTTTCAACTTTCTGAACTTCTTTACCTGCACAAATCTGATCCTGGAAGGTACTGGGAAAACCGTGAATGAAGAAGTGGAATTAATTGGAGATCACACCACCTTTTTTCCCACCTAAGTCCTGGGGATGCTGGCCATGAGGAACATGATAATGTATCCTGAAAAACATTAAAAGGTCCTTCTCAGTTTTGGGCTTCATTATAACTACTCAGCAGATTTGGAAAGAGAGAGGTAGACTTCAAAGACTTTATATTTCCTTTGGCATTGTGTTCCACTTTCCCCAAATCATTTGGCACCGGTTTTAGCTAGCACTGGAAAGATTCTGAACTTTTTCTCACAAATAAAACAAATCTATATAAACCTCAACATCAATATGCTTAGAGGAAGTGTGAAGAACAGTATTCTAAAAACCTAGAGAAAACAGATTGTGTCCTTTTTTTGAAATGACTAGTCATGAATAGAAGTGAATATTTACTATGTATCACATCATCAGCTACTAGTTTTATACCTGTACTCTGAATAAAGGTGATGTCTAAATCATTCACTATACAATCATAATTCAGTTGTTTCCTGTGGTCCTGTACACATTTACATACATGTCTATACTAATGACATCACCTCAAAATCTGGTAATTGTGAATGGGATTTAACATGTGATGAAAATTGTTTAGTCAAAACTACATGCTTATGATGAATATTTTAATTTTATCTATTTACACAAGGTATTATTTATATGAAAATTGAACTTTATCATGTCCATGATCATATCTACAAAGAATGAGTATTTAAATATCTACAGTCTAATTTTACCAGTATTTTTACAGAATATAGATTTGAATGAGAAATGCTTATAAAAAGTGAAATGATCAACATTTATTTTTAAAAATCCAACACCTCTTCCTTTCCTTATAAAATGCTTTACAAAACAGCACTAGTGATGATGTTATTTTTCTGAAGAAGCATGATTCTTACAGAAATGTATGTAGTACTTTTAGTATATCAGTAAAATTGTACTTGCCGATCCTGCATAATTTACAATTTTTTAATCTCAGACTTCATATTTTTTCTTACCTGTACCTTCTATAAAATAAATATTACAAAAGTTAAGTACACTTTGTATTTTTCTAGTGTGATTTTTGTGTAAGATCTATAGAATTATAAAGCTTTACCAACTTGAACTTTACTTTTACAAATATGTTCATATATCTTTTATGTATATAAAATAAAAGATCACTAGTAACATCAATTTAGCTGAACAGTAGGCTTTTCATAAGTAGATTCACTTATTTAAACATTGAATCTCTGGTGAAACATTCCATAGATTCAATCTAAATAAACCAATAATTGTCTAGGAAGACTAAGCTAGGATGTTGTTTTGAACATCCTCTTGAATTTTTAACATTTTCTGTCTGCTTTCAGCTGTGCTTTTTCAGCTGTGATTAAACTTGAGGAAAAAGCTGAAATGCAGCAAAAAGTTTAGATGCAAACTGTAGGCCTAGATCTGGCTGCAACAGAAATGTTAACCCTACCTTTAGCCTGCATAACTCTGAATTGTTGACAAAAGACCAAAACCAGTCCTATCTACTCCAAATTCTGAGTCAGAAGTCTCCTTCAGGCGCATCACCAAGGCTATAAATTAAGAAATAGACTATGGCCATAAGTCATAATGCATTCTACAGAATATTCTGAAAAAAAGGAAGGACTGTGACATGCGCGGTACATAACATAGGAATTCATACAGAGGTCTCATTTGGTTTTATGAAGCATTCCATTCCCGTTACAAGGGGACATCTGAGATAAGAACCACACCCTGGTCTTCAGCAGAAGAATTTAATTTAGGGTGACTTATAGACTCATGATGCCTGATTATATTATTTAAACTGAGAGAAAAAGACTTGGTTTCAGTAAATTATTATCAGTTCAAATAGAAACTGTAGCTAATTTAGATCAGTTTTGACACCTGCAGAAATAGGATTCACAAATGGAAGCATGTTTTTTATCCTAAAAGCAAAGTTAGAAATGAAGTGACTAGCAAAATAAGTTTAGGATCTGCTCCAATAGCCTTTCTACATGCATACATATATAGACTGTTGAAATAAGTCTGCTTCTGATGTTGTTGCACTATTTTTATATACATATATTTTCTTATTATTTGACCTGCATTAAGACACCAATTTTATTGTTTTTATCCCATTTTTATGAATTCCAGCTCCATAAAACTGTATAAATCCTAAAGGTTTTCCAGATTATAATCAGGTTTAAAATCTGTGCTATTGACTTTTAAGTCTCTGGGCTCTTATTTAAAACCTTTACCAGTGAAGTATGAAAGAACAATAAAACAAGCCAGAAATTAAAAACAGCAAAGTCTACCGGACAATGCTTACTTTTCTGTTTTTTTAATATATCTGTAATAATTTTGCTGTGTATTGGTTCACAGCAAAAACCCCTTTAGAACTATATAAAATAATGGAAATTTTGCATTTCCTGCCTAAGAAAATTGTTAAAAGCCCCTTGTTGCACTTCAAAGGCATCTTTTACTAAAAATCTGATCAGACATCTGTAACATTTCATCCTAAAGAGAGTTTGCTCCATAATGCTATCATTCTTCAGTAAGATTTTAAGTGTGTGTTACTAGAAGTAAAATGCTTTCACCTTAAAAATAGGCAAAACCATGTACCTAAATCATCGCTTGTCAAAAGTTTTAGATAATAAATGAAATGAAAATAATGGGAAAATATTCTAAAAAAATTTTCTAGCTTTTCTTTAAATAGATATATTTTAATTTTAATAATTTTAATTCCTATGCTGTGGAAATAATCTAGAGGAAAAAACTCGCAAAATCCCTATTGCCCAGATAAAAATAGTAATCACATTTATCAAGGCACAATCTCAGCTGGTATAATTTGTCATAGTTTAATTCGCAGCCATAATATCTGGCAACTCTTTTTGCCCCCTATGGAACTGTCTATCTCGATTGTTAGTTAGAGTTCCTCCCATGTTGCTGTCCTTTATTAGTTACTTCCACTTAGCTATTATAGTATTATTATTCTTCTGTGTAATTCCATCAAAGAAATATAAGCTCTTACCGTGTTGTTGGGATGGTAGTTCAGATGCAAACCACTGTCACATAGGGGAGAGGATGTGCCACTGCTTTGGTCACTGGGGGCACCTAATACAAACATGAATACACCAAAAAATCTTCATTAATCTATAATGCTATAATTCAAATTTGTGTATGCATGTATCTATGTATTCCCCTCCCCCCACTAGTTTTGTCATATCTAACATTCATTTACTTTCTCCATTCAGCCAGTATCTGCCTTCTGGTTTGAGTGGAGTGCCTTTTTAAGCTGAGTGGAGGCTCAAGAATCTTTCTCCTAGTGCTTTGCTTAAAAGAGTTAATAATCTGTTTAGTAAGAAAAAAAAACCCAAAGGGTTTTGCAAATTTGATAATAAAAGAAAAGTGTGTACCTCCTCGCTTGGTTTTCACTTGAAGGAACTAGTCAGATAATGCTTTTCTTACTCTCACTGAAGTTTACAGTTCTAACTGTTCTTGTAACAGTTTAGGAAATTACAGTGCTACACCTCAAAAGTAAGATGATACGATGCAAATGCATGTTTGTGTGCGTTACTCAGCATACTCTGTGGTACCACAACCTTTCATAAAAGGGACAAATGTACTGGGATACATTTTTATTTAAGAATATGGTGTTCTAAATTTTTTCGTGTCTCACTAAAATTTAATACCTAGGCGAAAGATAAAGACCGTATTTCAACAATTGATTGTATAAAATATTATTTCATAATTTAGTTGACTTAATTCCTCCTAACTTAAAATCAAAGGCTAAAAGTATTGAAATCAAATATTTATTGTTTTGTTGCTTAAAAATTCTACCCTCTTAGGAGCAAGATGCAGAAGGAAAGCAGTGGTGACAAAAGCCACAGGCTGACATATAAATATGCTTAGATATGCTGCAACTGTCTATAATTATTCACCCACACTTACAATTTAATATAATTAAAGGAAGACAGCTGTTTCCATATGTCTCTCATGGGGCTAGCTGACTAAAACTCCGTTGGACTTAAACAAAATACTAATCGTCCCAGGTAATTTACTTTTAGGTAGACAGACACCTCCACCAAAGCCTCTGAATTTTAAATGGTAAAGTTAAGCCCTCTAAATATACACACGCAATCTCATTTGCACATTTACAAGACAAAACTTTCAGACTAAAATGTTATCTGATGCTGCCTGAAAAACTGCTTTTAAATACTCTGCGTCAGGATGTGACCTACTGTAAACTAATGTAATTCCACTGTTTTACCTGCAACTTTGCTGATTCACAAAAGCCAAATGCCTGGTGATCTGTTTTTCAAGCAAAGATAGCAATTTTTTGCTTGAGGTGAATGTTACTACGAGACCTGGCAATACGAGCAGCTCATATTCAGGCAGCAATGCTGACCGAAAAAGCTGCTGTCAATCACCCTCAATGCACAGTAGGTTTGGAAGCTGCAAGCATTCATGAGCATTGAATTGAGTTTTCTTTTGGCCAAGTAATAAAGGCTTACATGCACAATCTTCATTCAGTGGCAGTTTGAGAAAAGCAGGTGCTCTTTTCAGAAAGGACACAGTTAGGGTCACTTCTTCCCCTGCGTTGCGAAGGACCTGAACCTGGAAGAGAAATACAGACAGGACACCTTGAAATAAATGTATGACCAAAATGCATCAGCAAAACGTAAGCAACGCCACGCAGCTTTTACATACAAGAACATAACTGCTTAGCCATTTATTGCAATGACTTTTTTTTAAAAAGAAAGCAAGATGTAAAGCTTGCTATATGCTTATCTGTTGTTTCTAGTCACACATACAGGTAACGGGGGGCAGGGTATTGGCCTTGTGTAATAGCATTGACTTTGCACCTTGCTATTGCACAACTTGCACCCTGACACTGTCCAGCTGTTCACCTCCTTCTTTCAGATCTGGCATCATCCACACTAGCATGTATGTATAAAAAAAAATATTTTTTTTCCCCCCCTAAGGTTATCTCATAAATCTCCAACCAAAACAATAGCAGTAGTTTCCACAGCTGTGCCATAATCCTATGAGTAAGTCTTTCCAACAGCCAGAGTTAAATCTAGCCGAAGCTCTCCAGCATGGATGAGACACCTAATTTCCTTACAGCCACAGAGGAAAAGTACCTATTTTAAGCCTTGTCTTAGATAAGCACAGGCTTGGGTTTTGCCAAAGAGCAGCTTGCATTTTGGACATAGGAATGTGTAAATCACCTATCCACCTGTGAATGCTTTTAGCCTTCCTGTACTCTCCCACAATTTCTCCTGTGGCTCTTGTTCATGCCTTTAGCTTTTGTGTGGTATGGCTGACAGACACCTCAAGACACACAGCAGAGAAAGGAAACCCCAGGCACCTCCCCAGAGAGGCACAAAGGAGGCACAAAAGCAGCTAAACAAAATGCTATACTTTAACCGTGGAGGAATAACATTTGAGTGGGTTTATAACGTGAGAGCCAAGAAGCATCAGGTCACATAACTCTGTTTCAGAGAACAACCATTTCCTGTTCTTCTGCCTCTGTAACGTCAAAACTCTTCAAGGGCTGATTTAATTTAGGCTTACAAAGACAGAAGATTGCACCATGCCTCTATCTGAGTGTCTGTACTCATACTGTGCAGAGAGCCAGCTTGCTGGGAGCAGTGTTCGGAGAGCTGCTACACAGTGATATATTAGACAAATGTTTTAAACTAGCTTATATCTGTTCGCTTTCTGCTGTGTTTTCATGGTAGCTGGATAACACACAGGTAACCCCTCTGTCATGCTGCTGCTTGTGAGAAAGCCTTGTAAATAATTTATGGAGGATTGCTATTCTTTGATCTATACCTATCAAAAACCTATCCTACACATTTAGTTACATGCATGTATATAACTATATGCAGGGATGCCTTCACATGGAATCACTGCATTAACTTAAAGTGATTCTTCAAGAAAAAATGTCGACTTTGTCTTTAAACACAATACTTCCTACTCCGCACTGGTTGCTACAGAGGAGTAACAATATGGTGACAGAATATTTGATTCAGTATCTGAAATCCACTTGAAATTTTAGGCTTTTTATTGTTTAAAATAGCACAGTGGTTGTCAAGGCACAACTTGCAGTGCCGTGTGTATTTATTTGTATGTGTGCAAATAAACACACACACATCACAACAAATTTCATCAACTTAAACTGCATGCCAAAAACTTTATCTGTAACATGAGCCTCTTGGACGAGCACTTCCCAGTTCTAATATGTTTTATACCTTAGAATTCGTAAGTAGTACTTATTTCATAGAAAGAAGATGACTTGTAATCTGCGGAACAGTAGATCAAGACTCCGAAGTCCTGAATTCCATCAGAGAAACCATACCGTATCCTCAGTCTTCACAGAAAATTCATCCTTCTCCTCTCTTATGTAGCAGTCACACAGTTCAGAACAGTCATAGCCAAAGCAGAAAATTACAGGCATGTATTCTCTATTGAAACAACAGATGTGGATAGACAAAGTGCAGGAAAATCCAGCTACCTTCTGCCTTTTTAAGTTTTGGTTTTTTTTTTACTCAGGAACAGGGAAGAAATAAGTGGAGAAGTTATAGAATTACCAACTTTAATTTATAAAGTCACCTTTTAAGATACCTAAGAATAAGTGGTATAATTTGTGAAAGAAGCTGAGACACTAAACTCTGCCCTTGAATCTTTCTTCTTCCAAGAGTAAAACAAGCCACAAGTCTACATGATTTCATTTGATAATATATTTTTCTGTAAAGGCTAGAAGTTGCCATAAGTAGTCTACTGTGACCTTCTGCTCTAACGTCTCTCTCTCTCTCTCTCAAACCTCTTTATCTCATAGGATGAAGAATTTAAGCTGGTATACAGTTTAGATGAAATCAGCAATACTTATTTCACTGAAGCATATTTTGGAGTGTATGAAGCATATAATCCATAAAGTGACTAGATTTTGACATGCAGAATAAAGACAGAAGAGAGATAAAAGATTAAAAAAGAAAACTACTAGGTAATGATTACAACAAAGAGGAGACGAGCTATCAATCCCATTTCACTTACTTTCTAGTTATTATCAAAGTCATTCTGGGAAATGAGGTTAGCTGAAGAAAATAGGATTTTTAATTAAATTTATTGTCTTTTTGTAGCTTTCAGTTGAAAACTGCAGTTATTTTACATTTTTTGTCTTTATTTTACATAAGAAATGAACAATTACTGAACTGTTTTAAGTTGAGCATGCCTTATAGGATTAATTTACTCTGTGTCCTCATTCAACATGTACACAATGCCATACTGCCGTTCCTCCATGCAGAAAGAGAATAAGGTACAATAGGAAATCTAGTCTTACTGAGGAATGTTTTTAGTGGTATACCAGAACAGCTCATGTTCATGAATGGAAAATTAATTGATAACTTTTACCAAAAAAGAGAACAGCCAAAAGTAATGTGAGTAATTGTTATGGAGAGTTATGTCTATGGAAAAAAACACTTGAAAACAGGGAGTCAAACAGTTTGTCTGGGAGATAAAATGCAGTACGAATTTCTAGAGTTTTACAAACATGAGTGGAATTCTACCAATAGTCAGAGATACTGGCATATTAGTTATTTCTTCTTGTTTCCTCATTGCCTAACATCAGTTTAGCTAAAACTTATTAAAGCTATTTTGGCAAAATGATGACTCTGTGAATGTAGATGTATTGTTTGTTCAGGCTTAGAAAATGTACATTCATGAAAAATGAATTTATCTGCACAAGAATATCCATGTGGACCTGAAGAGTTGGTAGCATATTCCACTAACAAGGCAGTAATGAGCTTTTACCACTGAAGTAAATTCATGAGCATACCGAATAAACCAGTTGTCAATCATGATATAATTTTTAGATAAAGAAATGGATAGATATCTGCTCAGCCATCCTGCTCTCTTACTTAGAAGAAAGCTTCCTCACATTTATTGTATATACATTGCCAATACCTTGTCAATCAAGTACTATCACTGACAATGTATGAGTTGGTTATTCCTGGCAGTGATAATTCAAGAAATACTTCAAGGTTACATTCAAACATAAGAGGGAAGTAGACTATCTAAATCCTTTATACAACCTTTTCAGAGTTACAGCATATTTTCTAATTTATAAGGAAACCTTAAAGCTAGGTTGATCACAGTAACTACATTCGGATTTTTTTGCCAGCACCATCACATATTGTATGCATGATAAAAATGACTGAAGACTAAAAAGCTAAGGACTATTTTCTACTTCCTGCAAACAATGAAGCTGTCAAGAATTTGCAGTCATTTAGAAGACTTTCAGGATTTTTCTCATTTTGCAATGTCTACTTCCATATTTTGATATAATTATGTTAATTTCCTTAAATTCCTGATACATTAGTCCACAAATTAGAAAAAGGTGGGGTTTGGTTTGGGTTTTTTTCCCCCATTCAAGGGTAAGGTATATTTTAAATAGGAAAAATAAAGAACTGTGGAGATCTTGATCCACTGAAGGTTGAACAGTGGCATTAAAGTGGTACCACATTTTTTGCAATATATTAAAAAAACAACAACAGGTCATTGGACAAAGTATGCTAACTTTATTCCACCCCCACTTCTTATTCTACAGAACTGTGGCTGGACCTTCCAAAAATAATTTTTACTAGGAATACTACATACAATTGCTGATTGATCACTGATTTCCATGATGATCCCATCCCTCGCAAAAATATTCCAACATTGGGTAGAATACAACTAACATTTAATGTCTTGTTAAAATTAGCTATTTACTTGAAGAGAAATTAGTCCACAATTAATTGCTTTCTTTTAAAATTGCTTTCTACCTTCCAAAAATAATTTTTACTAGGAATACTACATACAATTGCTGATTGATCACTGATTTCCATGATGATCCCATCCCTCGCAAAAATATTCCAACATTGGGTAGAATACAACTAACATTTAATGTCTTGTTAAAATTAGCTATTTACTTGAAGAGAAATTAGTCCACAATTAATTGCTTTCTTTTAAAATTGCTTTCTTTTAAAATACAATGTGGCTATTTTAAGAAACAGTGCTTCTATAATAACTGTACAATCAAATTATCAGAGACAATGCTAGCCACAAATAACAATTCTTATCAGTCCTGGAATAGAATTAGAGTCTTATCCCCACTGTGTATAAATGGTAAAGAGATTTTCAATATTAATGAAAAGTAGCTGTGTAAGTAAGAGATTTTCAATTCATTACTGCTAATAGAGAAGGCATTTCTAAATTTACATCAAATAAAAATATTCAAAATATTTGCCCTAGTATGTGAAAAGATATAAATGGACCCAACTTCTAAAAAGTGAAAAAGAAACATATTTTTGGAAGGAATACTAATTTTGAATAAATATAAAAACATTATTTCAAAAATTTCAAAACAAAAATGAAGCAAATTCCTAAGAATTTTTTATTATATATGAAGAGTTTGGTGAAGGTGAGATAAATTCATAGTGTTAAATTCATGCAATATGTACCTGACAAAAATTTAACTCAGCAGTAGACCTAACATCTCCAAAGTCTAACAAGATTATACCTCCCCACCATACGCCATGGAAAAACTCCATTCGGAAGAGATCTGTATGTCTATG